AGCTTTCGGGCTGTGGCTGCCACAGCCTTCGGGCTGTGGCATTGGTACAGTCTTCGGGCTGTATCTGCCACAGCTTTCGGGCTGTGGCTGCCACAGCCTTCGGGCTGTGGCTTTGGTACAGTCTTCGGGCAGCTTTCGGGCTGTGGCTGCCACAGCCTTCGGGCTGTGGCTTTGGTACAGTCTTCGGGCTGTATCTGCCACAGCTTTCGGGCTGTGGCTGCCACAGCCTTCGGGCTGTGGCTTTGGTACAGTCTTCGGGCTGTATCTGCCACAGCTTTCGGGCTGTGGCTGCCACAGCATTTGGGCTGTGGCTTTGGTACAGTCCTCGGGCTGTATCTGCCACAGCTTTCGGGCTGTGGCTGCCGCAGCCTTCGGGCTGTGGCTTTGGTACAGTCTTCGGGCTGTATCTGCCACAGCTTTCGGGCTGTGGCTGCCACATCCTTCGGGCTGTGGCTTTGGTACAGTCTTCGGGCTGTATCTGCCACAGCTTTCGGGCTGTGGCTGCCACAGCCTTCGGGCTGTGGCGTTGGTACAGTCTTCGGGCTGTATCTGCCACAGCTTTCGGGCTGTGGCTGCCACAGCCTTCGGGCTGTGGCGATGGTACAGTCTTCGGGCTGTATCTGCCACAGCTTTCGGGCTGTGGCTGCCACAGCCTGCGGGCTGTGGCTTTGGTACAGTCTTCGGGCTGTATCTGCCACAGCTTTCGGGCTGTGGCTGCCACAGCCTTCGGGCTGTGGCTTTGGCAATGTAAGTTTTGTATGTTTATGTATGTATGTATGTATGTATGTATGTATGTATGTATGTATGTAATGTATGTATGTATGTATGTATGTATGTATGTATGTATGTATGTATGTATGTATGTATGTATGTATGTATGTATGTATGTATGTATGTAATGAATGTATGTATGTATGTATGTATGTAATGTAATGTAATGTAATGTAATGTAATGTAATGTAATGTAATGTAATGTAATGTAATGTAATGTAATGTAACGTAATGTAACGTAATGTAATGTAAAGTAATGTAATGTAATGTAATGTAATGTAATGTAATGTAATGTAATGTAATGTAATGTAATGTAATGTAATGTAATGTAATGTAATGTAATCTAATGTAATGTAATGTAATGTAATGTAATGTAATGTAATGTAATGTAATGTAATGTAATGTAATGTAATGTAATGTATGTAAATGTATGTATGTATGTATGTATGTAATGTAATGTAATGTAATGTAATGTAATGTATGTATGTATGTATGTATGTATGTATGTATGTATGTATGTATGTATGTAATGTATGAATGTATGTATGTATGTATGTATGTATGTATGTATGTATGTATGTATGTATGTATGTATGTAATGTATGTATGTATGTATGTATGTATGTATGTATGTATGTATGTATGTATGTATGTATGTATGTATGTATGTATGTATGTATGTATGTATGTATGTATGTATGTAATGTATGTATGTTGTATGTAATGTATGTATGTATGTATGTATGTATGTATGTATGTATGTATGTATGTATGTATGTATGTATGTAATGTAATGTATGCATGTATGTATGTATGTATGTATGTATGTATGTATGTATGTATGTATGTATGTATGTATGTATGTATGTAATGTATGTATGTATGTATGTATGTAAGTATGTTATGTATGTATGTATGTATGTAATGTATGTATGTATGTATGTTATGTATGTATGTATGTATGTATGTATGTAATGTATGTATGTATGTATGTATGTATGTATGTATGTAATGTATGTATGTATGTATGTATGTATGAATGTAATGTATGTATGTATGTATGTATGTATGTATGTATGTATGTATGTATGTATGTATGTATGTATGTATGTATGTATGTATGTATGTGTATGTATGTATGTATGCATGTATGTATGTATGTATGTATGTGTAGCCTTGGTACAGTCTTCGGGCTGTATCTGCCACAGCTTTCGGGCTGTGGCTGCCACAGCCTTCGGGCTGTGGCTTTGGTACAGTCTTCGGGCTGTATCTGCCACAGCTTTCGGGCTGTGGCTGCCACAGCCTTCGGGCTGTGGCTTTGGTACAGTCTTCGGGCTGTATCTGCCACAGCTTTCGGGCTGTGGCTGCCACAGCCTTCGGGCTGTGGCTTTGGTACAGTCTTCGGGCTGTATCTGCCACAGCTTTCGGGCTGTGGCTGCCACAGCCTTCGGGCTGTGGCTTTGGTACAGTCTTCGGGCTGTATCTGCCACAGCTTTCGGGCTGTGGCTGCCACAGCCTTCGGGCTGTGGCTTTGGTACAGTCTTCGGGCTGTATCTGCCACAGCTTTCGGGCTGTGGCTGCCACAGCCTTCGGGCTGTGGCTTTGGTACAGTCTTCGGGCTGTATCTGCCACAGCTTTCGGGCTGTGGCTGCCACAGCCTTCGGGCTGTGGCTTTGGTACAGTCTTCGGGCTGTATCTGCCACAGCTTTCGGGCTGTGGCTGCCACAGC